ATGATCGTTCTGGTTTTCGATGATACATCGGCACAGAAGACTTTCTGGAAAAACGATCTTTGTTCCCAGTTTTAACTTCTCCTCCTCCTCCTTTCCCAGTGCTGATGGGGAGGTTTCGACCGAGTGGCGACACCTGTTGTCTTTTTGTCTTGTTTGGGGCGACACTTTCTGCTCGTTCTCGGCTCCAAACACCCGTTTGCTCAAGTTTCCGTTCAAATAGTTTTTGGTGATCAGGAGTCTTTTTAAATGAGGACAGAGTCAACATCGCCAACTCAAGGAACTGGATGCCAAAACTGATGGGAGACAACAGATCAACATCGACCGCTGCCGCGGTGATGTCATCTTGTTTACTGATTTGTTGATGGCTGTAAACAAGACAAAAGCAGATACCAATGGTCAGCCAATAAACGGGCGCATCGCTACAAATGGTGTTTAGTCTACTGATTTACATTTTGGTGGTTTTGAATGGAAATCTGAGGTGATCAGCACAGATGAGCCGAACGTTTTACTGTAAAATATAGTTCATGCGTCACGGTCTCTTTCTTATGCTTTGTGTCTTATTTCCTCCGTTCTCCTTCCATCGCTGCTTGCTGTCTGCTTCTCCCTGGAAACAAAAAAACATAACATACATCTCCATCCTCTTGTTTCTATAGCAACGCAGCAGAGCGGAGAGGAGATGAGGAGCCGTAGCCTCCTCCAGCCCTTCTCCGTGATGAGAAGCACAACAGAAAGAGACAGAATAAGCCAAAAAAAAAGAAAAGAAAAGGAGAGGTTTGGGAATAAGACGTAAAAAAGAAGGAGGAGAGGGAGAGGAAAGGGTAGAGAGAGGCAATCAGTGCTCGCTCTTGTGCAGGAAGGAGTATCTATGGTAACCTCGGCCGGTTATCAGAAAATTGAAGTCTCCTCTGTTTGTCTCCGCTCTGCTCTCCCTCTGCCTATTCAGAAATGCATTTATCGTCTCCTTTAGCTCCCGGCTTCATATTCTCCTCTTAATGTTGCAGTTCATCTTGTTAGTGTGTCATGTGCGTGCAAAAAAAACACCGCAAACACTATTTGGCAGCTCTGAGACATGCAGACGGAGAGGCGGAGGGATGGACGGAGGCAGGGGCTGAGGTTTACTCTTCCCAGGAAATGAGACATCTTGCCCAGAACCAATATTTGCCGTGGACGTCGTCTGTAATGAAAATCCCGCACAACAGGTATCCTGTGTGCGGGGAGGCGGGGTCACAGCCAGCTCACCCATCGGTCGTGGAGGGAGGTGTAAATAAAGGAATAGCATGCACGTTCTGCACCGAGGGTGGGGTTGGCGGAGCTGTTTGTTTGCTCTGTAGAGAGAGATGGACGCAATTAAGGACGAGAACCACCTGTCTGCCCGAGCGGGCTGCAGACGGACGCCAGGCGTCTGCTGCTGCTCTCGTGTAGCTGCTCAGATGTGTTTGTGTTTACTGGAGCCGCAGACGTGTTTATCTGTGTGGAAGCACACGCAGGGAGGAAGACGCAGTGGAGTCATGGAAGGACGGGCCTTGTATACTTTTAAAGTCACTGTTAACAAATGTCTCTGGAGCACTAAAA